ATTCCCTAAATTTCTGGCCTTTATTATAAAAAATGGCTGTTTTTTTTTGTTCAGCATGAGCAAGAAGTGCCATATATGTAACTGCAACCCCATGTTCAATGAGAGTGAACGGTGTTTTCCATTATGATCGCCGTTTGGGAAATGTCATATTGATGAAGTAAATCATTGCCTTGTAAATTTTCTAGAATAATAAAAAAAAAAACATATGGGTATACTATTTTCTAATGACAACAGTTGTGCATATACTGTATATGATAAATATGTGTGATGAAAAATATTATTTAAAACGTTTACTCGTTGCTATTGCCCTTAATGTTACTATTATAAGAAGAATTTGTATTAAACTTATAGTGAACATTTCAATTGCATAAGTATGAATATTAGGAATATTTCATTATTAATGCAACGGAAACGGACATGCAAAAAAAAAGAATGCGGATCTTGGGCTAATTTATCATTCAGTCTCACGTGTATACTTAGAACACACACACGTCCCTGTAGTTTATTAATCGCATGTATCAATACTGCTTCTGACTTACACCCAATACCTTTTATATGGTTGGTGTGATAAACCTTTGTAATACTGTGTAAATAGGTATCCTCGGTGTATGCGTTTATGAACACTCGACAATAGCAAAAACTACCGTAGTAGAGCCTGCAGCGAAAGTCCTATAACGACTATAAACGCCGACAAGCTGTAGACTGTAAGAAATGATTTACAATGTGACAAATACAGATATAATAACATGCACGGAAAACTATATTTATGAAAACCTACATATCATAAGTTATATTCACTGAACACAAAAAAATACATACCTGAAATAAACGACCTTTCTATAGTCGTGTCTGCCTAACGAACTGTCACACGACCGGCCGTCACGTACCCCCAGAGGTGTTAATAAAAACAAGAACACTTTCATCTTTACCCGTAATTACACGTACACTTAATGGGGCAATAACTCCAGGTTCTCGAAGTTCAGGGTCAAGAGCATGATGGTCTGGTTACCTGGCAATGGTGAATGTGTACAAATTAGGAAGTAAAAGTTTTGTTTACTTTACTAATTTAATGTTGTCGGATGTAGTTCGTGAGGTGGATTTCCTTCTTAATGAATGTAATCATAATTCTGTTAATTGATGTATAATTGAAAAGTGTATAGGAACATCATACGTAACATTTAAGTACAGGTCTAATATTAAAAATAGGGAGTATTTATTCTACTTGCCATGATTGCAAAGAAGAAGGTATGAAAATGTGATTAAAGTTATGAGTTATGGCCCTCTTAAATCAATAAAAGTTAAATTGGGTACATGTTTTTACATCTAACTTCCTAATTATATTCGCAATGCACATATGATGTGAATTCGTAAAAAGCGAAAACAGAAAAGAATTGTACTACTATATGTTTGAATTCCGTTTCTAATTATAACCTGCAAAAATACTTTCTATAGTGAGCATAAAAAGCTCACGTTCTTTCCCAATTGCCTCAGGCGATAAAGAAGCTCATGGTCACGGTCATTCTTTAGGACAGAAGGACTATATAAACTGAAGTGTTGTGAGTCTGTCATCAGTTTGCTTCATACACCTTTATCATGAACTTTGTCGTAAGTCCCGAACAAAAACTCTATAACAATTTGTAACCGTGAACTTATTGACTTATACTTGGCATAAATATACTTGAGTTACTGTTTTTTTTTTTTTTTTTAGATCATCTTTGCTTGCGTGGCAACCGTGGCCATCGCCGCCCCTCAGTACAGTTACATCACACCTGACTCCAGCGAAGAAGTCGAATTTGTGCCGATCCTAAGGGACGATCGCGTCCACGAGGAAGATGGAACTTACAAGTTTGACTTTGAAGCTGGAAATGGCATCCGTTTCTCCCAGTCTGGATCCCCTGACGGAGACGAGGACGCTGTGATCAAAACAGGAGAGTATTCGTAAGTACTTCCTGTATTCTATATATTTGGTATTAATGTAATATCACATAGATTTCAACCTAATTTTACTCGTGCCAGACGCCACTGAAAAGAGAAAATTACGATATCAAGCTAACATTATGACAATCTCATAAATCTAATTGATTTTCCATCACATACAGTTACACTGCCCCTGACGGCACCCCCATCCACGTGCGTTTTGTAGCTGACGAGAACGGCTTCCAGCCTCAGTCCGACGCCCTTCCTGTGGCCCCCGAGTTCCCCCACCCGATCCCTCAGTTCGTCCTCGACCAGATCGCCTTCGCCGCCGAGGAGGACGCCAACCGCGCTCGCCAGGAGTCAGACGAAGTGTCTTCTCCAGCAGGATTTTATCGCTACCCTCAATAACGGACAAAAATTGACTTTAAAATGTGTAATTTATTGAACAATTAAATGCATCCAAAAAAATCCTAGCATTTTTGTTTAACCAAAAAAAAAAAAAAAAAAAAAAAAATCATATGTGTATGTGTGTAAACACTTTATATAAATGTATGTATGTATGTGTACATATGTGCGTGTATGT